TGGAGGCCCCATCCCTGGAGACATTCAAGACCAGGTTGGATGGGTCTCTGAGCAACCTGATCTAGTTAGTGGTGTCCCTGCTCACTGCAGGGGGGTTGGACTAGATGACCTCTAGGGGCCCCTTCCAACCCAAAACATTCTATGATTCTATGATTTCTTAACTGCATTTCTCATTCCTGAGAGAGCGCTTGAATCACCAGGATCTGGTTCAGTAGTGCAGGAACTGTAACATCTCTGGCCACCTTTTTTCACAGCAAAAGAGCAAACCCTTCTCAGGTCTTCCAGAGAACACAAGGGAGTGTCTCCTCCCAGGAGATGATTCCCAGCTGTGGATCCCAAGCTGACGGAGGTGTGTGTACAGCCCTGCTTTCCAGCACCCAGCAATCAGAGGTTTTTTAGTGAGACTTCCATTTTTATTGATTCCTCTTGAGATGAAGATCTTGGCTGAGCACAGAGACTTTCAGGGATCTGTTTCTTTCCTCTGTAGAGTGGGATCAGCACCTTCTTCTGGATCCCACATGGGTCCGGTGTCTGAAATCCAGATATCGCTGGGCCTGATTTTAGATCATGTCTTGGGTCTGGCTCTTCTGCAGGCACTAAATACTGCTTAGTTTCCTTTGCATAGATAAAAAAAAAATAATCACAGACCACTGAAACATAGATGCACAGAATTAAACAGTTTTGCTATTGCTGATTTTCTTCTTTTAAAGCACGATGAAGATGGTACTTGGCCACAGCTGAGTGGCTAGTTTTCTGCTAGGAGGCTCTGGTTTTGTCTCTTGGTCTCTTGATTTGAACTAGTTGCAGAAATATGGCAACGGTTCAAGTCCCTGACCCTGTGTGCTTGTCTCCCAACGCAGCTGGAGCATGGGCAGCCGAGTCATCTGCTGCTTTTTGCTTGGGAAGACCTTGCGGTAGAATTTGAGAGAAGTGTGGGCTTCAGTGGTTCTGGGTTTATTGCACTGTAACTCCTGCCAGGAAAATACCCCGACAAACTACCGCGCTTCCAAGGCATCAGGTTCTCAGGAGCATGTCTTACCAGAACAAATAGTTTCCAAGCATTGTTGAGGAAGCAAGAAAATGTATGGAGAAACCATTAGGGTACAGCAGTAAGGGGAAAGTCACTAAATTCTATTTTGTAAAATGAGCAAAAAGGTCTTGTAAGCCTAAGATCAGGAAGGAAATAATAGCATTTGGCTCTGGTTCGTCTGCCGGTTCTTACTGAGCAAAGAGCTAAAGCTCTCACTTGGCTCAGCTGGGGCCTCTGAAATTCCCTCTGAAGGCTCATACGGCTGCTCACGAGTAAGAAATGCTGCTTGGGCAATGAATCCCCTTTAATGTGATTTACTGTAGTGTGGCGCAATACGTGAGGGTGTTGCTGCACTGAGCTTGGAGGTGGGAGTTGCTAAGGGTCACAGACCAAGCCACAGCAGATCCAGTTACCTGTGGACGGAAGACAGAGTGTATAACTGCTCAAAGCATTCCCCATTAGAGCTTTTGTCCTCCCGTATCGTATTAGGATGACATCAGAAATGGCTTTATCTATCTATCTCCTTTATTTTTGTAGCATTGCTCCAGGAACTTACATTAAAAAATAAAAGACTTTAAAAAGCTGGAGTGCTTTTTCATATTTTAGAGATAGGCAGTTGTTCTTGTAATGACATATGCCGAGTTCTGGTGGATTTATCTCTTTGTGCGCCTTTAGGGGCTCACTCCCACCCTCTGTGTGGTGGTGTAAGTCAGCTGTGATCACAGAACAGTGGAAGCCAACTCCCAAGCTGTGGTTTACTTAAACTTCACAAATTGTGACAGCAATAGGCAGCTTTATTACACTTAATTCATGATCTGGAAAAATGGAATCCTTCCGCACCAGTATTAACGTTTCCAGGAAATATGGTCTGAAACTCAGCATTTTTTTAAGGGTTTTCTCCGAGCTATACAGCAATATGCCTGACTTTTTAAATAGTTGTCTATTGAAATAGAGTATCCAGCTTTGGAAGATTCTAATGAAATAAGTAAGATTCTAATGAAATAAGTAAGCGTAGCTTAGGCTTGGAATTAATACTTTGCAAGGTTAATCTCTAACCATCAGGCAAGTTGCTGCTGAACATGCAGGCAGGTTTCTTGCATGGATTCACTGTGAGTTTCTTTAGGAAGAGGTGCTCTCCCTAAGTCCAGTTGAGCATCCCATGCAGTTGTTCAGGTTTCCTCTGTTTCTAGTTGTTGGGGGGAGATGGCACCTTCAGAAAGTAATTTTATACCTTCAAGTTTTAGGAGGTGTAGCACGCAGCTCGAGACATACTCATCTTTCCTGGATGTCTGGTAATGTGTAGATGCCTGTTCTCTGTGAGTTTACCCTAGATCCTAAAGTTTCAGATATTTTCAGTTAGCTGAGATTCAGCACTTCCATTATACCCTGGAATAAAAATGTTTCACATGAGCTTTAATTAGAAAATTCAAATGATGCAGTGCTAAAAATGCAAGCTGGGGGAGACAGTCTGTCAGATTTATGTAGTGAAATGCTGCTCTGGGGAGCAAAACAT